CAACACAGATCGCGAACGGAGCTGTGCTGGCAAGATGACGCTAATGTGAGGAGCGGCTGGTTGTGCATTTCGCCGACTGTGGGGTAACAGGCATTGCGAAGGTCACGATGGCAGCTTGGAGGTCAAAGCCATGGCAAAAGCAAGGGATCGCAGACTGGAAATTGATGATGCTACGTCACCGGCCTACACGGGAAGCAGGCACGATGAGTTTCCCACAAACTCTACAACGGTCATTACATCACATCCAGCAACAAACCTCAACACCATCACGTCGCCATGAATGCCAGACATGTCGTTTACTCCACAGGAACGCGTTGCGGCATTGTCCAATCATCGGCCCGTCTAGCGCGGGCGACAAGCCGGCGTCTGCGTCAGTCTGGCACCATCTGGAGCAACAATGAAGCTGCACTAGTGCGACATGACCGCATCCGACGCAAGCCGAGCATCGCGTGCGATATCGTGGAGCACCAAGAGTACCAACCATGGTATATATGGCCTTCACCACAATGAAAAGCAAGTCACAAGACCTGCAGAATTGCTCGCCCTCTCAAGTTTGCACACACCGAAAATCTATAACCCGTGCCGATTCACCAGCTCCAAGTGCAAACTACACCACCTTTCACACAACCACTTGAGCGCTAGACTACACCCACATTCCAAGATGATGATCCGGAGACAAAACCTCCACCGCTTCCAGAGCTTCGCGCTCGCACACACATCCCGAACCCTTGCGCAGACACCGCGCTACGTCTCCCAGAGCGCACGACAGAATGTCTCTATCCCCGCCTCATCACAAGTCTCGACCTCACATCTCCTGTCGACGCAGCCAGAGTCGCAGATAGCGCAGACAAAAGCAGTCCTCGGACGCCTACCTACAGAGACCGTCCTCCGATCCTACCTCATCACCGCCGTATCCTCACGGCCACTGCTGCTCAATGCTTGCTTCGGCATCTTACGGCGCATGCTAGACTCGAAGTCTTTCCTCCTGAGCATCGAGCGAAACCCGGTGCTGTCCAACTTGCTCAAGAAGACTTTCTACGCGCAGTACTGCGTTGGCGAGAAGAAGGATGAGGTTGTCAGGAACACTGAATTCGCACGCACGCTTGGATACGGCGGCATCCTATTTGAGTACGCGCTTGAGGTTCTAGGCGGAAAGGCGCCGACTGCCGAAGAGACCAAGATGGAGATCGAGGTGTGGAGGAAGGGAATGCTGCAGAGCGTTGATATGGCGAAGGAGGGTGACTTTGTTGGACTGAAGTAAGTCTTGCCTCGATGGCTTAGACACAAGCACCTACTAACCACCATGTAGATGGTCCGGTCTCGGTCGCCATGCCCTCAACCTCCTCCAGAACCAGCAAGATGCCACCCCTGAGATGTGGGATGCCATCACGGCAGCTTGCGATGCCGCCGCCGCAAAGGGTGTCAGCCTTCTCCCTGGTGCCGAAGAAGAGGCAACCAACCGTGGACTCGAGAAGTGGACAGTAGCCCTGCAGGAGAAGTACAACAAGCCCGAGAACGGTCGCGCGGTTCTCTACATCACATACCAGTGCTACCTGCGCGACATCTCGAAGCGCCTGGCCGAGCACCTTGAGCGCGCCTCAAAGAAGGGCTACATCGCTGGTGTCAAGCTTGTACGCGGCGCCTACCTCACATCCGAGCCCAAGCATCTCACCTTTGACACCAAAGCCGGCACCGACGCCAACTACGATGCCCTCGCTGATGCCGTAGTCCGCCAACAATGGACTGACAAGGTCCCCGCCCCCACACCAGGCACTCCCTTCCCGAAGGTCAACATCGTCCTCGCAACCCACAACCTCGCCTCCGTCCAAGCCGCCCAGAAGATCCGCGCCCAACAAATGCTCTCCACTTCCCCCGAGAACCTACCTCGTCTTACCTACGCCCAACTCCAGGGTATGGCCGACGAGATCTCCCAGGCTCTAGTCCAAGACGAGACCATGAAGGCGGACACTCAGGCCAAGGTCGTCAAGTGCATGACTTGGGGTACCACAACCGAGTGTCTCAACTTCCTGCTCAGGAGGGCGAGTGAGAACAAGGAGGCTGCGCTCCGTACTGAGGATACCCGAAAGGCCATGGGCAAGGAGCTTTGGAGGCGGTTGAGGGGTGTTTTCGGCCTGGCTTAGATTGGGCTTGTTGTTTCCGAGGTTGATGATTTACGAAGCGAGGCATTTGCATGAGCATAAGCGTGGCGTTTGGAAGGGACGATTGGGAAGCTACTTCTCGCATTACAGCTACCCTTTTCCTTAGCATTTGACATTTTAGGTATTTTGCATAGCGGTTTTGTTTCAGAGAATGTTCATCAGATATCAATACCAAAGTCACAGATTACTTAAAATTCTCTCTCGCGCTCTCTCTGTGGCCCTGACTGTGTCAATCGGATAGTCCCCAATTTCACTCGTAGATATCGTCGCCGCTGCCGCCCCACACCCTCGCTTACCACGTCAACGTACTCTTGCCCACATTTGACGTGTCGATATGTTCCATTCAATTTTTATTAGTAATCAACAATCGCCTCCTTGGCTAAGTGGTAAAGCGTCGCACTTGTACATGCTACGATATGCGAAGATCGGTCGTTGTAAGTTTGAACCGCGCTTGGTTCAAATTCCATTACTAACAGTATCATAGCGATTCGGCCAGGTGGCATTCAGTGATCTTCTTTTTGCCTCCCTTTGCATTCGACGAAGTTGTTAAGTTGATTCTTTTTGCTCACACAACAGCGCGTCGATTGTGAGGAACATGAAGTCCTGATGTTTGTTTGTACCCAAGCTTCTTCCAGTTCTGGTTATAATGACAACTGCAGAGACAAAATGTCTGTATCTTTATTCTCTTGCTAGAGATAGATTCAGAAGTCATGAGAAGCGATCAGAAGGAAGCATCTCAAGTACGTGAAGGTGTGAATGACGGGAAAATCATGCCTGCAGATGATGGCGGCCTCAGCCCAACGCACGGACCCTCCACACCGACATACTCCTTCTGCCGCTCACGACGATCAACATCGCAACATCTCCAACAATGCCCCTTAAGCTAGATGTAATTATGAATAGCAGTACTCGTACGCTCGGCGCGCTCCAGGTAGCTCTGCAAACCCTTGCGACCTGAAATCGTACGCCAAGCCCCGGCCCGAAACACCAAGGCCTCCAAGCTCAAACCACAGCTGCTGCAAGATCCGCGCATCAAACACGACTTCGATGAGCCTCGTCCAGAACACGCCGCTCAGTGGTGGAAATCGGTTATGTCAAGCTCAAGAGAGACAAGGCGAAGCTCTGACCTGTAGGCTTGGCTATACTCGTACGCGTTTAGGAGTGAAAGAAACTGTGTTTCGCAGGCTCGAGGCCTTTCCGTGATTTGTAGCATGCCGTTCATGCAGTATAGATGTATGGGAATCCCCCACACTTCTTTCCTTTCTTCTCTTCCCGCTATACTGCCGTGCGGTAACTCTCGTCTGCCACCCTTCTTTCGATTCTTCTTCCTGGCCGGTCCATCATTTCAATAACCTAATTTCTATTTCCATCTATTGAGCTTATCGTTTTTGCCATCATGTACGGACTCATCACTCTCTCGCTGCTTTCCCTCACTTCGGCGCTACCACAACGCAACCGCGGTGGTAACGGCAATGGACAACAAGCGACAGCCTTTCAGAAAGCGGCTCAGGTGCCCCAGGGAATCTCTACCGCCACCGATGGCTCTATGATACTGGATGACACGGTCATGGTCAACAACCTGCCTATTCGATTCAAGATCTCCGCACCGGCAGATCAATTCCTTCCAGCTTCGGGCGTCCCCGGTGCGGCAGCTACATCGGCGAACGGCACCCTGGGCGCGAACGTGTTGCTCCACGGCGACGGTGGACAGAGTTTCTTCGACATGCCGAACCAAGCTGTTCAGGCCAACACCATGGGTGTTGCGCTACTGGCACCCGACAAGAATCTGTTCTGGGGAGGAGGCTCGGGTCTTCAACGTACAGATGGCGTAGCACACGCTCAGGCCGTCAACGACTTCATCCAGACCGAACTGCCGCAACGGGTTGCAGTCAACATGTCCAACATCGTCTTCACAGGTGTTTCGGGCGGGTCGCTGATGATGTCCGGCTTTTTCATCCCAGCACAGATGCAAAACTACGCGAACTCGGCTGTCGAGCTTAACTGCGGTGGCATGCCGCCACAAGTCGCTTTCCAGAACGCTGCCACAGTCATGTCTCAGACAAGGATCCACTTCCAATCTACACAGAGTGAGCTCCAGTTGCTTCAGGGTAGCATTCCACAGGCTGTTACAGCCTATGAGCAGCTTGGTGCTGATGCAGGTTTGAGCGCTGATCAAGTCAACACATTGCAGACAGTGGACAACACACCTGCGGGAGGACATTGCGAGTTTGACGGTCAGGACTTCGTCTCTGGAGTACAGACCATGTCGTCGAGCTATGCGAACGTCATGCAGGGCGGCAATGGCCAGGTGCAAGGAATCGGTGCGCCGAGCACTGGTGTTGTCACGACGGGTGTTGTTGGAAACGAGAACTTGAAGTTTGTGGGTGGGCAGAGGAAGCGTGAGGTTGAGGCGAGAAGTATGATACAGATGCGATGGGCGCAGGACGTTGTTGAGGAGGCCGACTTCCAGATGCTGGCGTGCGATAGAAGCTCTTGCTCGGCCGATGAGCCTAGGGTCTAGATGTTCGTGGGTTTAGTACATAATTCCTGTCTTCATGTCAGATCAATCAATTGAGTCCGACCATCGCAAAAGCGTTTCCTCAACGCGCTCCTTGTGCTGTTGGTCCTGTTGGCGCACTGCCAGCATATCATTCATCCGTCACTGCAATGAGGAACACAAAGTGTGGTTTTGGTCGTAATGTTCATTTGACTGGTATTGTGAAGGTCGTCCCATTGCTAATCGTGGTTGCAATGTCGTCTCCCAAATCCTTCACCCCGTAAATGCATTTTCGCCGTGCCCGTAAACCCATGAATGTGATCGAAAGCAGGAAAAGAGACACCTCACATGACGACACCGGAGTTGGAAGCGATACGCTGGGAGTTGTTAGTGTTGATTATTTTGGTGGCGGGTGCACACGTACCGGCCACAGCTCAGCGGCCTCCTTTGCGACGGGTCCAGTGATGGCGGAGCCCTTCATCTCACCCTTGGGGTTGACAATGACACCGGCGTTGTCCTCGAAGTACAGGTAGATACCGTCTGCTCGCCTCCATGGCTTGCTCTGGCGGACAATGACGGCGGGCATGACCTTCTTCCTCAGCTCGGGCTTTCCCTTCTTGACGGTCGCCATGACCATGTCACCGGCACCGCCAGCGGGCAGGCGGTTGAGACGCGCACCGATACCCTTGACGGAGATGATGTACAGGTTGCGGGCACCGGAGTTGTCGCAGCAGTTCATGACGGCGCCGCTGTGCTTCTATTAGCCTGCATTCCCTGTGTGCCTTGTATGCGTGTTCGCGAACGGAGAGGTTTTCGGCGGAGCGATCGCATCGGGGTCAAACGTACACTGGCAGACCAAGAGTCATCTTGAGCTTGTTACCGGAGGTAGAACCTCGACTGCACACTCGTTAGCCAGCATTCCTCTGCATGACAGCCTCAGACTGCCCAAAATGTCGCTGAGGACTACGTACCCGCGCTTTCCAGACATTTTGGTAGATTATCGGGGGGATATTCGATTTGGGCGGGTTTCGGGTGCGTCGTCGCTGGAGTTGTCGTGAGCGTCGTGAAGTTCGGCAAGTGGGTTGGCAACGACGAAATTCGTGTGGGCGCACGGACCCCGCTAGCGTCATCTTCTGCTTCTCGAGACCAACACCAACACCAAGACTGCTCAAACCTCCAACTTTACACTTACGCTATCCTGTGTTCACGCCTATGCGACTCATGGTATCTGCGCGTGCCTGTCCGTTTGTGGACTTGTCGCGGCAGCGAGCATAATCTGTTCAAAAACCACGAAATCAGCCATGCTTTGAAGCGAAAGGAGCTGCAAACACTCAGACTCTGCTTTGTCTGGTGTCAACAGAAGCCTGACCAAAACAACAAATACTGCAATCTGCCAGCTAGCAATAATTTCTTCAGTCAACGGACCAGCATGGCACCCTGAAAGCGCGAGCTGCATTCTCTTGTCAGGAACCAGGCGTTCAGACAAGCCAAGATTGTCCATTACAGGTCAAGTCGCAGAAAGTTGATGCATTGTACAGAGACCTGCTACAGGTTTCCATGTCCACATATAGCTCACAACTTTAGGCCCTCTTCTTGATCTCTCAAGAACTCGGTTCTGAGGGTGGGTTGTCGAATGAAGTCGAACACGAGACACGTCCTTGACATGAGCCCATCTTAATATCGAGATGTTGCGCAGATTGAGCAGCTAGAAGTCAAGCTGCCTGGTAATTGCATATCGAAGGAGCAGGATACTGCATGAGCGAATGTGATAGCTAGTCTGATCGATACACCTGGCTCAGACCGTCCCTTGTCTTGGCATCCACCATTGTGGTGGAGACTGAGTAAACATTGCTATGGGCACTCGATTCATACAATCAGGCATGCGCGAAGTTTCGGTTGTCGGTTGGCGGTGTCGCGCAATGATAGACCGAGAGGGTTGAACACGCGTTGTTGCGGGCACAAACAGGAAACCTTTGAACCCTGGAAGTCTGCGCGGCGGAGGACATGCTAACCTTGTTTGAGTAAGGACAGCGAAGCAACGACGTGAACGACCACTAAGAAACCCCGAGACTTGCTAGGACCATGAGCCTGGTCAATTCATGAAAAGCAACGTTGGAGCTTAGACGTTGCATCCCGCTCGTCATCACAACAAGCTCGACCCCGCAAGCCCCCCGCAAAGCACCCAGGCACTGCCGAAATTGGGCCCGACCGAACTCGACCGAGGAATTCAATCCGCCAAACCCCGGAAAGGGATCAAGGCCGCACCACGCCCTTCGTATTAATTCACGACGGGACTAGGGCTGCGAGGTTTTGCGAAGCGACAAGCGATTGTACATGCCGATGACGATGAGTACCACCGTCAGAATCAGCCCCACGGTCCGATTGAAGAGCCACAGAGGTATAAAGAGCTCCGCAGAGAATACCAAGATGTATCAAGCGTTCCTTGGCCATCATCATGAAGCCTCAAGCACTTCTTGCGTATGGCGCTGTGGCTCTCGCCCAGCAAGTCTACGTCCCTGCTGAAGGGCCTGTCTCGCGACCGCAATGCTCGGCAAATCAAACATATGCGACTGCACTGCCCTCGTATACCTTCAGAGAGTTCAGCTTCACACAGACCGAGACTGTTCGTACAGCAACATCTGCCCCAGCTCCCACTACCACTACTACCTATGCACCACCGTACGCGTCGCTCAGTAGCTTGGTGCCAAATCTGACGACAACACAATGGGGCAACTGGAACTCAAATGTCACCGCATCACCGACCGACTTGGGGAATCCATACGGAAACGCATCCTGGACAGCTCTCTGGACGACCGTGCCATGGGTCAACTTCACGACCGGGATGTACTCTACAACAGTTGAACCGACGCCAGTACCGACCAGCGAGCTCATTCTGCCACCACCTGAGCCACTGGTACCCCAGCAATGCTACTCCTTCCCTGCAGACTTCATGCTTGGCGTGGCGGCATCAGCTGTCCAAATCGAGGGAGCCGTCGCAGATGAGGGACGGACACCCGTTCACAACGACGTTGCTGCCTTGAACAACCCGGGCCAAGCGCCGAACTGGATCGCGAACGAACACTACTACTTGTACAAGCAAGACATTGAACGAATTGCTGCCATGGGCATCAAGTATTACAGATTCTCCATTCCTTGGACTCGAATTCTGCCGTTCATCTTACCAGGCACACCAGTTAACAAGCAAGGTCTCTCGCACTACGACGATCTTATCAACTTCGTCCTGGAAAAAGGCATGCATCCCGCTGTTATGCTTTACCACAACGACTCTCCTTTCCAGTATTTCAACAACATCAGCGATGTCTTTATCAAGCCCGGAACTGGAGGTATTGGCTACCTGGACTCTTGTTTCCAATGCAGCTACAAGAATGTGTCGTGGGAGGATGCTTTCGTCGAATACGGGAAGATTGTCATGACACATTTTGCTGACCGTGTTCCAATCTGGTGGACCTTCAATGAGCCTCTCCTGGGTGCGCGGAACGGAAAGTCTATTGATGCTGTCATCAAAGCTCATGCGAGACTCTACCACTTCTACCACGATGACATTGGCGGAACTGGAAAGATGTCGCTCACATTCAACGACAACTTTGGCGTCCCACGCAACCCGGATGACCCCGCTGACGTCGACGCTGCCAACCACTTCAACTCCTTCCAGCTAGCTACCTTTGCCAACCCTATCTTCCTCGGAACAGACTACCCGGAATCATTCAAGAGTAGTGTTGACGACTACGTACCATTGAGCCAAGAAGATCTACAATACATCAACGGTACTGCGGACTTCTTCTCGATCCAACCGTACACTGCCACAGTAGTCAGTCCACCGCCGAATGACACCATCGCGGACTGCGCTGCCAACATCACTCATCCCCTCCGACCTTACTGTGTAACTCAGAGCACTCTCACCACCACTGGCTGGGACATCGGATACCGCAGTCAATCATATGTCTATCTGACACCCAGCTATTTCCGCACCTACCTGAATTATCTCTGGAACACATGGCGTTCTCCAGTGGCTGTCACTGAATTCGGCTTCCCTGTCTTCGCCGAGGCGCAAAAAGAGCAAGCAGATCAGGAGTTCGACAGCCCAAGAAGCTGGTACTACCAGACGTATCTGAATGAAGGCCTGAAGGCGATCTGGGAAGACGGTGTCAATTTCATCGGCGCGTTTGCTTGGTCGTGGGCCGACAACTGGGAGTTTGGTGACTATGACCAGCAGTTTGGTATCCAGACTGTCAATCGTACGACACAAGTGCGAAGGTATAAGAAGAGTTTCTTCGACTACGTGGACTTTATCGAGAGTAGGAGACAGGCGGCGTAGGTACCGCAACATATCCGAGCCCGTGTGTATATAGACAAGTCGTATCAATAGTATATAGATCAAGAGCTACCCGGCAATGTATGCTCACAATCTCTAAAGACGACTCACGAATCCACTTCGATCCATCTTGACCAAGTACTCTGGTCCAATGTCCTCAACCTTTGTCACACCCGCAAGTCCCATGCACAACTTGAACTCATCACTCAACAACCTCAGCGCCAGTTCAACACCTTCTTGCCCTTTGTATGCCAATCCCCAAAGTATCGGCCTGCCAACCCAGACGAAGTCCGCACCCAACGCGAGTGCTTTGAATACATCCGTTCCGTGTCTGATGCCTCCGTCTACATGTACAGGAATCTTCTTCCCGGCTTGTGAATGCACAGCAGCAACGACTTCAGGCAACGCATCGATGGTAGCCAATGCGCCATTAAGTTGTCGCCCACCGTGATTCGACACAACGATACCGTCGACGCCGTGATGGCAGGCTAGGAGTGCGTCTTCGCCCGTCGCAACGCCTTTTACCCAGACTTCCATCTCAGGATAGCATTGCTCTTTCAGCCAGGCTATGTCGCGTTCCCAGCATAAGGTCGGGTTTGGCGCGTGCGTGTGAAAGCTTATCGGTCCTTGTGGTGGCTGTCTCTTGTTGCCGTCAGTGGCACTGGGTGTCTCGCTCCTCTTGCGCGACTCATTCGCTTCCGTGGATGGTGAGGTGATTTTCTCCTCGACCTTCACACCCTCGTCGTGCTTCTCATCGCGGTTGAAGTTTGCTACTTTGAAGTGTTTCGGCAGCTTGAACTGGTTCCTTATCTCTAAGTTCCGGCGTCCGAGGACCGGGGTATCGACCGTGAGCATGACAGCTTTGTAGCCGGCTTTCTTGGCGCGTTGGATGAGCTTCTGGCTTTGGGTGCGCTCTTCGAAGAGGTAGAGTTGCAGGGCGCCTGGGTGGTTGCCCAATGCGCCTTTCACGTCTTCAAGGCTGGTTGTGCTGAAGCTGCTCAGGCCCATTACGATATCTTTGTTGGCGCATGCGCGTGCGGTCGCCAGTTCTCCGTCGTCGTGTGCGAGACACTGCATAGCGGTTGGTGCGACGCCGAGGGGTATGCTGTTCTTGTGTCCGAAAACGTTTACGGTCGTGTCGATAGCGGAGATGTCGCGAAGCACGCGTGGCCGAATGCGATACTTCTGGTATGCGTCAATGTTCTCGCGGAGCGTCGATCCAGAGTCTGCACCCTCATTGTAGTAGTCGCGTGTCTGCTTGTCCATGCGCTCTGCGGCAAGCTTCTCGAGTTCGCCGATGGTGAGGCAGTTCAGATCGTGGGGAGTCTTCGTGTCTGTCATTTTGATCCGTGTGGTAAGGCAAGACGATGCGACGGGTCGTGATGCGATGCGAGTGTATATGAACCTCTGGGGAGGACGACAAATTCGTCGGATATTGAAGGAGACCAGGGATCAGCCATCTTGTTCATTGCTTCGGCAAACCTATCTCTAATTCGGCTATTAGGTTGATGATGACGGCGACGATGTAGCGTGGGAGCTATGGCTTGCCGATCTCGGCTCGACGCGTCAATTTCCCGTTCGTGCGAACGTGGGGGTGTTGCGCGTCCGACACTCACAGGAAACATTCCCTTCGAATTATACCATACCACAGTCAAGTGGATGTGCCAACTGGGGGTCATCATGGATCCGGCGAAGTCATTGAGTGAGTGTATCTAAAGTGAGGTGAACGCGGGACCACTGCGGAACAGCAGAAACAAACATAGGAAATCTATCGCGAACACTAAGAAAGGCCAGCAAAAAACACAAGACAAAGGAAACCAACAGCAACCTGCGCGGCCATCGTTCGCATCTAGCGCTCACATCCAGAACATGCTAGCTCTATCAAGCAGACTCGGGTTCCACGGATTGAGCCATGTCCTGCCATCGAGAGTCGGCGGCTTCGTACCGTAGTGCTTACCCCATATGGACACAGTGGTGGAGATGTCGTGCGCCAACACCTTTTTCGCTTCATCGATCGTTTCCTGAGTAGGGCGCTTCTGTTTACCCTTCTCGTCTTTCTCCACGGGAATGTTAAGAGTCGGCTTCATTTCGGGATCAAGGTTCCAGGCGCGAAGATAGACACGACCTCGCTCGCACAAACGATCCGCTAGATAGGCAGGCGCAGCGTACGAGACACCTGTCGTCGCACGGCCGAAGGCATAGCAGAGCATCATTGTCAACTCGGGAAGACGCTTCTGACCAAGTTTCATGCCGTCCTCCAGTACGTGGTAATGCGCCGATCGAGCCGTTCCCTTGATGGCTTTATGCGATTGGAGAAAGTAGTTGAACGGAATAGGATTCGTGACTACGTCGGTGACGAGAAGTCCAGGTTGCAAATTTCCATTGATGCCATTCGGGATTTTGTCGCCACCAACGTTCAGGCTCTTCTCAGTGTATGTCTGCTTCTCTTCTGTTGCGTAGAAGCGTGTGTGGTGGCGCTTGCCGCAAACGACGAAGGTCAAGGTCAGGTCTCGGGTGCATAAATTCTTGTAAGCCCTCTTGATAGTCTTAATCTCTTCGTCGATGCAAGATTGGAATTGGCTTTCGCTGATACCATCTCGAAAGAAGATCATATTGCTAGGCCATTTTTTGTAGTCGGGCTTTGCCATGGTTGAGTTGTAGAGTGCCTGCCACCCTCGAAGACGTTCCTGAATCATCGAATACATGTGATCGTTGTCGATGTTCTGCTAAAGTTAGCCAGTTGTTACGGGTCTTATATACAGGCCACACTTACCTCTTGGCCGCCGCGTTGCAGTCTCATGGAGCCAGGGTATGACATGAAGGCAGAGTCGTTGCTGCCGACAAGACAGGCGATACTTGGGCTTCCCTCCTTACCACCACCACCGCAGTGGGCGATATCTGCGCCGATCACGATCGTGTTCTTTCTTGTCTCCAGACTCAAGATCTTGTTGAAGTCCGCCGGACTGAAATGATGGTTATCTCCACCGAATCGAATATTCACTTTGAGAGCGAGGTTCGACAGAAACTGGTCTGGCTTGGCCTGTAGAAACTTGGAGCCGACTGCCAAGAGGATGTTTCTGCCGCCAAAGTCTGCAATCCTTTTGACCATTGCATAGGTTTCGTAGCTCTTTTCTGGAATGAGGATGAAGCCGCAATCGTTAGGGCCGGTGACATGGTAGTTGAGGAACTTCCTCACGGTTTCCTCATCATCATGGCTGGCCTCATCATCGAAGAGCGTATCCCGGGCCCAAATATGATCGCTATGGTCAGTAGGTTTTCCCTCTGCGTCATACTTGAGACCATCTTCAAATTGAAGACCATGGGCCTTTAGGCGCTTGGCGAGGGCCGAGTAGACGTCTATAACTTCAGCTTCCATGTTGCCAAAGCAGTTCGGCATTGTCAGCATCCAGAGGTCCTTGAACTTTGCTGGGGCGGCGAACGTGACATCCTGCAAGTCCCAGGATCCAAGCTTCGGAATCTTTTCAGGGGACGACGCACCGTATGACAGTTTCGGCTGGGAAAGTTGGATAGCGGGAACTTCGATAAGTTCGTCATCGACTTCGAAACCTACTGAGGTCCATACGGCTGTTAGCGGATCTAGATGAATATGATCGAAAAGTAAATCACTCACTAACGGCTGCTGCCCATCGCTACCAGCCCTGACACCCATAATATCAAGCCCCTCTTCTTCAAGTAAACCAACATTCTCGGCGGGTAGGCGTAATGCGTGCCTAATCATCTCGCTGGTGTGCATGTTGTTCAACGTTGTCTTGATGACTTGTCCCGGTATGATTTGAAGTAAGCAAGCAGGTATCCATAGCGCACCTTGCGCGCTTTGGGATCGCATCAGCCCATCTTCTGGCGGTGAATTGTCCATTTTCTTGGTCTTGACACGTTTTCCAACGTTGATGCAATACATCTCAGGTGATGATTGAGCAGTTCCGGCCGGAAATTGCACCTTTGCGTCTGACGTCTGGTTAGTGCAAGGAAAACATCTCATGCCTAGTAAACTTACGGTCCGTAAAGTATTTGAGAACGGTAGTTCCTCTGTCGGTAGGTTTCGTTTTCCTAGGTTCGTCCTCCACTTTGTCCGCCAGCTCATAGAACTTCTGCTGGTGAGCATAGTATGGGCCGATCTGAGTGAAGATCTTTAGTCGAGCTGCATCAGAGTTGTAGTCGACATCACTGCCAACGTAGTTCGATCTTTGGTACCGGATCTTGACTGTCGCTCCATGCAACAGCTGACTAGCGTAGGCACGAGCATGCTCGTTAGTGCCAATCTTCTTGATGAATTCAGAGACTGTTACAGGCGGCAAGAAAGCGGAAGTTATTGGGTTGATGTTCAGGAGTGTTGCGTCGGCGCCAGGACGAATCGAAGTGAAGTAGCCGCGACCTGCCAGTAAGCCTCTCATCTCCTTGTAACCATTGGAAACATAAAACTTGTTCGCTCCTACGCGGCTGACCTTCTTCTCTGTTCTAGCTTGGCGGTTTTCAATGCATTGAGCTACATTGGCATTGAGAGCACGGATGTATTCAGGCAATGACGCGAGATGGTTCGTTCGGAGTGCGTTCTCGATATCGCTAAGATGGCCGACATAACAGACTTCCGCTTGCATGTCAGTGATAGCCTTGCCGTTCTGTTGAGTGTATGCAAAAGACTGGCTAAGAAACGTGTAGTCCTTCTCGTCGCGACCATGGATTGGTTTAGTCGTCCAGAGTGTCTTGAAGTCAGTCACCCGCTCCACACCGTCAGCCTCGAGTTGTAGCGCATCGGCCTTGACCATGGCCTGGAATGCATCCCGGATCTCGCGACGTTTGTTGTACTCCATCCGAACTCCCTCTTGATTCGCCCGAAAGAAGGTTAAAGAATACACGTGGAGATTCTCGGGTACCTTTCTGACTTTGACGTAGTTGCTCCGGATCATCATTTGGGCGCCGTCATTGGGAGTCTTGCTGGGGTTGGCGGGCTTTTTGCATAGACCATACTTCGGCACAACTGGAGG